TAACGTGATCTACATGAACTACAGCCGGGCGTGAGTGGGAGGGGGGAAGAGGACTCATACCTTTCCCAAGTAAGTAAATAAGATAGATTCGACTGAAATTCGAACTTAGCTCTCCGCTATCCACGACTCCACTGACCCGTCTAATACGAAAAGAACTCCCGAAATTGTTGGTGAAGGTTTCATACTCAACACGGAGGCCTACATCAAGTGCCTCGAGGAGGTAGTGCTGCCCTGTGTCAAGATGGTTGCTGCTGGAAGACCCTATGTCTGGCAACAGGCCTCTGCACCAGTCGACACAAGCAGGAGAGTCCGGTCAGGGTTTTCAGACAATTTCTGCGACCACATCTGGCCACGTAACTGCCCAGACTGCAACCCATTTGATTATTATGTGTGGGGCACGGTTGAGTGAGAGACCATCAGAACTCCTCATGAACTGAAGGCAAGGAGTATGGCAGCATTCACCAACTTAAACAGGAAGACTGTCCAGAACAAATGCAGAATATTCCAAAGTTGTCTGGAGGCCGTGGTTAAAGAGAATGGTGATTTTATAGAATAACTTTACTCTTAAGTTTACTCAAGTTATTTTTTGCAAAATTTTGGTAAATATATCTGTTAAAATGAGATGTCAGTTTTATTTTCATTTTTGCATAATTTCAACGACAAATTATCCATCGCGCCCTAACGACAGCAAGCATGTCAGTAAATTATAATTTTAATCGAAGAGTATTGGTGAAACTTGCTGTCACATATCTCCGAAGCTACGAGTTTTGATTGGCGCGAAAAGTCAAACAGTATAAATAATAATATTAATAATACGTATGAAAATGATCTCACCTGTTTTTGTCAACAGAACCTTTGTTGGGGCGAATCTTCTAGAAAGCAAAATATTCTGCAAAAAAAATAAAAATAAAAATAAGTAAAATATTACTGTAAATGAAAAATCTATATTTATACTATTTACATCGTTCGGACTGTTGCCGTCATCTTTATTGCTATATACACGATGTTTCAGCCGTTGTACTCTCCCACCTTCTTCAGGTGATATACGTTGAATATTTCGAACCGGAACCTTTATTTAGTCCCCGGATGTAGATTGTTCTAATTCCACACGTCATGCCTTTTTTGGATATCTCAGTTGTTTTTTTTCTGTTGCTTTTTATTTGTTTTGTTTTTGTTTTGTTTTTTTTTGTGGGGGGGGGCTTGTTTGGTTTTTTATTAATGGTCACCTAATACAAGGCCCTCGGGCCACTCATGGTAAAGGGTTACTGTGTGGTGTTCTATTAGCGTAAGAAAGGGAAAGAAGTGAAGTTCTTAGATAAGAAGATAACAGCTATATTTAGACTTGATAATGTCAAGTTTTAATTAGGGAATAAAATTTCAAAGTTCAGTTGGAGACATTAGAAGTATAATATAATTTAGACGGAACCGGAAATCCAATCCTAAACAAAATACAAGGGTTAAGCCTCTAATTTTGTTCAAAAGACCGTAGAGGAGAGTGAACCGGACGAGAGGCAAAACTATCTACCCCTACTGGTAGAGGAAAAATCATAATAATTACTGAATAAAATGTCAGATATCAGGCGAAGACCTCAGAATAACAAAGTTGAAGGAACCGAAATTCCAATTCTAAACAGGGAAAAAGGGATAAACCTCTACTCCTGTTCAAACAGCGGAGAGGAAATAAAACCACCGTGGACTAAATAAAAGTTTCAGTTCGAAATTCCAACGTACATCACCTGAAGAATGTCGGAGTGTACAATGGCCGAAACGTCGTGAATATAGCAATAAAGATTGTACACACTCTTACAAGATACATGCTTGTGTGTGTGTTTGATTGTGTGTACGTATGTATGTGTGTCTCTGAATGTGTCTGTGTTTGAGTGTGTGTCTGAGTGCCATTGTGTGTGTCTGAGCGTGTGTGCATATGTGAGAGAGAGAGAGAGAGAAAGAGATTGCTAGTAATAAAATAGTTAATCTATCTGAATTAAATTTGTAATCAATTAATGAGAGAAGTTCAAATATGTGGCAAGTGTTTTGACAGACAACTGAGAAATGTGACACCGATATCCGAAGGTGAAACGAAATAGTGAAAGATGCCTTCCAAAAACTAAACAAAGTATTAAGAAAATTTCATTAAAGACAAAGGAAAGACCGGTGATCAGCTACGTATTATCTTTCGCCATGCCAATGAATGACAATTTTCTCACAGTGAAGAGAAAACTTGAGGCAATAGAAATATAGTTCTACAGAAGGATGCTGAGAATACCAAGGACGGAAGAACATGGAGCGACAGGGAAGGTTTAACCCTATAACACTAACCATCAATTAAAGTTACACCACTACTAGTCATGGGTATATCATACCTGATTTTGAAAATATCAAAAAAAATGTTAAATATAAATCTTTATTTGATATATTTTACATGCAGGCACTTCAAACGTTGCCCTTTGAGTTAACATTAATAGGAACTGAAAAACATATTATTTAGGTAAGAAAATCAGGTACTGAAAATTGTAATCAAAAATAGGAAAATTTGCGCTGGGTACTATATAACTATGGTTAGTGTTCTAGGGTTAAGAATGGAACCAAGAAAACAATTTTATATTAAATCAGAAATAAATTTCTGGGACATAAACGAGAAAAGAAAGCCTGGAAAATGTAACATTCACAGGACATATTGAGATCAAAAGAGGCGGACAAAATGCCGCGAGTAACCTACATAACGAGCTTGCGTATATTATTTGAAAAACATGCATTGAGAAGGACTTTAAAAAAGACAAAGCACGGTGGAGTAATGGATAGCGGCTCGGATTGAGGAATCGGAGTTCGAATTCCATTACATTCATAGCTTTTTCTCTCCCCCACCTCCAGCTATTGGCAAATAGCAGGAAAGTAAATAGTGGGTTCTATAGCCTTGGCTGGCAACTGGTCTACCGCAAAAAGAAATGGCAACCTACTTCGGGAAAATATCTGCCTCGAAAGATACATGATCACCTAAACGTGTATCACGCATGGCACGTAACTGACTGATAGGACGTTGTGGCGAGCCATGATCATTCACAACGTGAAGTGACGCAGCACAGAGATGAAGGCCCATAGTTTCATGGATTTGTTCTCATCAATCCTCAGCATATATATATATATATATATATATATATATATATATATATATGTGTGTGTGTGTGTGTGTGTGTGTGTGCGTGTGTGTGAGAGAGAGAGAGAAAAGAAAGAATGCGAGAGAAAGAGAGAGAGAAAGAGAAAATATAGTTTTGAGGTATGCGCTTATATTTATGCGTATATAGGCAGGTGGCCAAGTGGTTAGAATGTCGTTCGCATTCGGATCTCACGATGGTCGATTTGTTAAGGAGACTTTCTGATGATATCGGACTGGAGAGGTCGATCCCAGTGTGGGGCACCTTTGGAAAGTGCCTGAAAAATCATGCCTCGGGTCGACCCAAGCTTTGTGAGTGAAACTGGTTGGCCGTCGATAGCTGTGCCAGCACGAAGTCACAAGTCATCGTGGCCGAGGGCCTTGTTCAAATTGTTGATCACGCTAGATAACACGCTCTTTCCCAGAATCTGTAACTAAGGTCTGCTCAACAAAACTGCAGTTTAAACTACAAGCAGGCTCTTTAGGTGTTTTTAATAAGTACATATGCATCTGAGCAAGCGTCTGCAAAAGGGATTGGCTAGCCGCCCTTGTAAACGGGTATCCTCGAATACGTGTAGCCAGCTATACTATAGGATAGAGCGAATGAAAATATAAAAAGTCAACACGTAATCGTATAAGCATGAAACAATCAGTCGTCGATGGGTGTTGACTTCAATGTCCACTTTTATATATTTTTCCTGTCTAATATAAAAGCAGAATTAAATGTCAACATTTTGATTAAGCCGTTATTTTCTCTTCGAGTTACATGTGCTATCCATTTTAGTCGTTGATGCTGTTGGTAGTCCTGAATTGGTGTAGTTTCTGTTATTTCGTATAGTACTTTGTTTGGGATCCTGTAGTGCTAGTCCAGATTATTCAAAAACGAATTACACACACACACACACACACACACACACACACACATATATATATATATATATATATATATATATATATATATATATATATATATATATATATATGTGTGTGTGTGTGTGTGTGTGTGTGAGCACTACTGTGGAAATGCTCAATACGATGATGGAGCTAACATATTCAGTTCAGTTGACATATTCAACAAACTAATATCCATACAACTGAATCTATCTATCTATCTATATATATATATATATATATATATATATGTGTGTGTGTGTGTGTGTGTGTGTGACGTCGTCCCCCGGTCGCAGCGCCAACTGTGACGTTCTATCCTGATCAACCACGGCGCCAGTTGTGACGTGGCCGTTCCAGGGTTCTATCCCAGTCACGACACCAATTGTGACGTCCCTAAACAGCACCAATTGTGACGTCTTCGCCGCGGCGCCAGCTGTTCGCTCCTCGCTGCTCCGTCCGGGTGTCGCTGCTCCAAACGTGACGTCCGCCTGTCGCGTCAGTCGTGTTGTCTCGTCCTGTGACGACCAACTGGCTTGGTATCGGTCGCGGCACCCAAATGTGACGTTCTAACTTTTTGGTGATTCGGGTGGGAATCTGGTTAGATTTGATATCAGCCTCGCCGTTCCCAACTTGCTTCCAACGCCTGGTTACCAAGGTAACTGTACTGATCTCCAGTCTGCCTACCCACGTTGTGAATTGATCTTAGACAGACGAGATCAAACAGTGGTTGGGGCCGTAATGCAAATTGAGTTCAACGGGGGTTATAACACACAAATATGCATAAAAGAAAATAAAATGAAAACTCAAAAAAGTTCAAAGTATCAAAGAAAAAGGTAACAAACTTTATGTCTAGTTGTTCGATACATAGGACTGCATCTATCTCCCGACCCGTTCTGTGGATTGTGACACGTCGTTTTTGCTAGGCAAGTTTTAACGCTTCAAGTTGTTTGCTCTCTAAGAAATTTGTGTTTCGGTGTGTCTTTGGACGAAAGTCGAAAAAAACTTATTTCGGTGGTCTGGCCCTAAGTCCCTCTTCAAAATAATTGCTCTTGGTTGAAGAGAAGTCCGGAATTTTGCGTGAATCTTGGTCAGCTATCTTGGTCTATCATCTCTGCTGCCAGGGCCCGAACTGATTTCTGCCTGTTGGGGCCTGGCTTTTATTTACGCCGACAAAAACCGGGTTGGGTCTGTTGGCGTCGGGGAGTTCCTCGATAATTCTAAATACATATCCACCTCTTTTATTTCTGGTTAGGGATTTTCCACTCTTTTCCATTTTTGGTAACTTTTTTTTTCACTCCCACTTTCTCACCATGCTTCTGAGGGGCGTGAACTGCCCTCCCCACTTCTTCGTAGCAGCTTCTCATACTTATACTCTGGATGGGGGCGTCGACAGCCTTCTTCGTGCGTCACGTGATCACTCTCGGCCAATGAGGTCTTGGTCGGGTATCTTTCCTCCTCCTTCGTGCGTCACGTGATCACCACTTGACCAATGACGTCTTAGTCGGGCGTGAAAAATCCGCGGCTTTGTTTCGGAAAAAAAAAATACCTTGCTTAACTAAAAAAAAAAATTAATTATCTCTTCTCTTTCTTTTTTCTTCCCTTCAAATCGCCGTTATCATGAACGGATAATACGACAACTCTTTGTTCAACACGTGGCGTTTGTCAAGTAGTTTATCGTTAATTCCTCAAGATGGTTGGTTTTCCCGACATGGCCTCAAAAAGAATTATCCCCAAGTTTTCAGTCAGTCTGACGTCTCCAAGGAAGAAAGAAAAACACCCCTGGGTCCCCACCCATTTCCTTCGGCACATATTCTGATAACATAAATTTACTATCGCAGGAAAAAGTTTGTTTTGTCGAAAAGAATTTAGTTAGCGAGACTGCTTGTGTGGGATTTTAATTTTCCATATCTAACTAAGGCTCACCTGTGTTTTGTCAATTATCAAAATTAACGTTTTCAAGTGGACTTTCTTTGGCGAACATTTCTTGATAACACAATTCCATTCGCGCAGGCCAAGTAGGAAAGTCGGTCAACGATTACTCGTAGGTGGCCTTTAATTTTCATATCTGTCCAAAGTCTTTTTTAGTCGCCTGTGTCTTGTCGTCACTTATCGAAATAACATTTTCACTTGAATTTCTCCCTACCCACTCAAATCTCATTGTCATTGTAATGACACTCTTTCGCCATTTGCCACTTATCAAAATAACCCTTTCTTTTCTTTATTGCCTCCTAGCCGTGTGTGTGTGTTCGCTTATCACCTATGATTCGGATCTCGCCTCACTTTTTCCCTTCCTTTCTTCTTTTCTTTCCTTTCCCTTTCTGCCTTTCTTTCTCTGCCTGGATGCATGGTGCCACATATATATATATATTTAGTTTATGAAAAACTAGGTAATCCGTATGGGTAAACCTAAGGAGGATATAATCCAGAGAGCTCAATGTATATCCAGAGCAAATAATTTAAATAAAAACAGACCACTTTAAGGTTCCATGTAATAAATTATTTTACCACAGCCCTTTTAAAAGGACTGCGGATCATCAGACTTTACTTCCAAACAATATCTCTCTCTCTCTCTCTCTCTCTCTATATATATATATATATATATATATATATATATAAAATCTATAAATCTCTCTCTCTCTCTCTCTCTATATATATATATATATATATATATATATATATATATATATATATTTTTAAAACAGACATTTTAAAAGAGTATATGTTTACATGATATGTACAAATATATTAAACAAAAATCTGTGTCTCGTCTTTTACCAGAGATTTTTTTTCACATTTGTTAACAGAATACATTCAGATAACCATTTGAAACTGTTTGAGACCCTATATATAAAATATAACAAATAATTTCTTCTGAAAGCTATAATAATATATAATCTGTTTGTCGTTCCTAGTGTTTATTTTATGGTAGTATCTTTTTCTCCTTACTTATATATTTGAGTCATTGTGCATATATTTATATATTTATATGTTTTGCCTTCGATTGTGCTCTGAAAAGCGAGTAGCGGTAACTGGTTAGATCCTTCTTTGTTGATATTGTTGTTATCAATTTCGAGTTGCTTTTTCTTTTCTTCCTACCAGTTTGTTTTAATATGATTAGCAATTTTTAATATTAACATAAATAAAAACGAACATAATACGTCCTCAAATAGCTGTAAACATACCAAACTACTATACCGTATACAAATGCATTCTAACTATAAGCAGGAGGAAAAATTATAAAATGACTCATAAGCTGTAATATATTCCCCAACTGATCCAAATAAAAAATAAAATTAATTATATGCTATACTAAATTTAATACAGTCAACCTAGTAACCAATAAAAACTCCGTCAACTAATATCTTACAAAAGACCAAAATCGTATATCAATTTAAATATCCTTTGGGAAATTGCATCTCTGATAAAAATGTTAATACGTATGTTGGTTTTAAAACAACGACGATGAGGAGAAGGCTTACATTTCACTTGAATGATCATAGTTCAATGTCAGAACATTTAAAGGAACACTCATGGTTTCATTTACAGTTTAGACAGATATTAATCAAAAATACATCAGTGCTTCATCATAATAAAAATAAGCAAAAACTTAAAATTCTGGTAGCCTTTTATATATATAAGAGAATAAATGGGCAAATAGTTAACCCCAAAACTGGGATCAAAACACTATGAAAGTGTAAAAAAATGGTTTTTATAGTAAATATACCAGAATTAATTTTTTTAGAAAAAATAAACTATTACTAGCTATGAAGTAAAAAACAAAATTACTACTGGCAACACATTTTTGAAGAAAAAATATATTACCAGCAATATATTTGACTCTCGACAAAAACCCTTTTTACAAAAAAAATACGTCAATGATACATGATCTACAAACTTATTTCTTACAAAGAATACATATTCTATTCATATGAACCTATCCTAAAAGTCTTATCGGCATGAAATAACCCATTGTGGTTGATATGCGGTAAAACAAAATAAGCCAAATCAAACAAATCAAAACATTTGAAATTAACATTTATTTTCCATTTCACTGAAGCAGACGACCAAAACAGAATAGTCCATTGTTTACGAGGTATTGGAGGAGTGTAACTCCCGGGCTGAAGAACGAAATAACTAAGAAACAAGTTATATGATAGTTTGTAGAATTTTCCCACATGAAGCTCAATCAGCGTTGGCTTTAAAATAGACCGAAATAATATATTCAAAATGGCGATTTAAATCATTTTCTAGTAGAAGCCTCAATATTCCCAGAGCACACATTTGTAATTTAGAAAGAAAATATAAAATAATTTATTTAATCTTAATAATATATCAAATAAAATAATCATTTTTCCCTTTTAAATAACGTCTGATGAGCTTACCAATTTAAATCCCCTTGACAATAATTTAATAAGGGTAGGCGTCAGCTACGTTCAAAGACTTTCCGAAAAAGCAAATTCTCATTGAAAAATATTAAAATCAGAAAGGCACAGTTCAGGGACACATAATGAAACCGGACATTTTGAAGGATGGAGGGGCAACCAGAAACAAAAACAAATAAAAAAATATAGTAATATTTTTCGAGGAGAATTTACTGTAAAATTATGTTAAAAAAAAAAGTATGCTGTCAACTCCTTGAATGTAGTTGACCCCTTTTCTTCTCTTTTCCACTGGGTTTTGCCCCTCCCTCCACACACATTAATCATGTCACCGAAGTATGCCCCACTTCCAAATTGTTAGAAAAATATATTGATTAACACATCGCTAGTAACGAAAATACGACTATTACAATTAATTGTAAAAAACGGAATATTTGATGCTCTACTTATACGAAAAGCAACAACAAAAATTAAGACCATCTTTTTAAAAATGAAATCTCTAACATATATAATTACAAGCTGTTCTACATGGCGGCTGATGTAAAAAAACGAATGTTGTCAACTGTGGTAAAAAAAAACGTCTTGTTAATTTTAACACCTCCAAAACAAAACCGCTCTTTATTAATCATCTGAAAGACTCCTTTCTGCCTTCCATTATATCCATGATATCCACGGTGTTGCATAATATGTGGACTTGTATGCTGGTCACTAGCGGGACTGAAGTGTCACATTCGACACAAACATAAAAACTGAATCAGGTTGTCGGATCCACATACGTCAAAATCGACGGAGAGGATAGATAGATAGATAGATAGATAGATAGATAGATAGATAGATAGATAGATTAAATGTGCGGTATTTAGCAGAAAGTGCTCAATATCCGTGATAGAGCTAACATGTGCGGTTGCATGGAGAGTTGTTTGTGACCTAAGGTTTCACGCTTTCGCGATCTTCAGGCAAACTGGTTTATTTTTTCAAACGTAGATCGATTTATGTTTTGTTTATTTGTGTGCGGTTGGAGGGGAGCTTGTTCTCTGCTTGATTGGGATGATGCTTGCGTATACTTAGACACGCACACACACACACACACACACAGAGAGAGAGGGGCATACACATTAGTTCATAACAACACACCCATATCCATTATTTTCTTACACTTTCGTTCGCTCGAGCACACGTATACACTTATCTTATTCTGTCTATAAAATTGAATATATACGCGGTCAGAGAAAGGGCGAAGGAGGACGTCTTTGTTCTTGTCTTTTCATAACATCTGTATCTTTTTTTTTTTTCATTTGTGTATATTGTGTGTGCCTTTGTGCTTTCGCTACTATGTATATACATATTCCTTCTCCATACATATATATTGTTTTATGATTAGTATATATATATATATATATATATATATATATATATGCATATCTACATACACTTCCTATGGTGCCTAGGGTTCATGTGTGTGTGTGTGTGTGTGTGTGTGTGTGTGTGTGTGTGTGTGTGGTCCGTCTAGCATGTTTGTTTTTGCCATTATGTGTATATATATTCGTTTTCCGTAGATATCCGTGTGTACGTGTTTTCT